TGAATACTTGGTATCATTTGTATTTAAAATACATATTCAAATAAGTCATTATAAAAGTATTTGAATATAAATACAAATACTTTTAAAAGTATTCAAAATACTTAAACAAATACTTTTTTTTTAGTTCAATAAATTGCATATTAAAATGTTATTTTTACTAATAATTAATTTATAATTAACACTATATGCAAATATATAGGTATTTAAACTTATTTATAAATGTTTCAATGACCAAATATAATACTACTTTAATAAGCACAAGCAGATATAAGATAATAGATAATTACTTACCTAAACCTAATAATGATAAGTTTAACTTCAGTGAGGTAGATATAATGTATGTTATATAATTATAATAATAAAAAATAAAATATATGAATATAATATAAAAGTAGAACAGTTTATAGGAATAATACAAATGATGAATTACAATAATTAAATAATACTTGAATTATATTTTAAAAAAATTGCTTTTTTGAATGTTTTATCATCCATTTTTCCTCGACGTTTTGTTAGTATGGCATTACTAACACTAAATACCTGTTCAATAGGACCACTGCTAGGCAATGGAGTATTATAATTAATAACAACTTTTTTTTACATTAGGATATTCATTAAGGGATGTCAGTTTTTTTGTAGGGCTTCTACTCAAATATTGGCACACTTCATTTTCCACAGAGATAGTTGACGTTCCTTGATGTTTATCATTAGACCATGAAAAAAAAGAAGAATCTGCTTCATCTTCACTATTATCAACAACTGGTTTATCTGTAGTAGCCTCATTTCTATTTGCATTAAACATATTTAAAATGGTTTTTTTAAAATCTGAAATAGCAAAATCCTTTTTAACTTGGTTTTTTATCCAAACAGTTTTAAAATATGGGTGTAAAATAGATTTTGTTGTCAAAAATTGGTCACTTAATATGAATCACTAAATGCAAGAAGGGCACATGTCCACATTTTATAATTTTCCAAGAGAGACAAAAAAGGTCACACATCTAGGACATACGCCATTTTTGCATTTAACATAAAATATCACATGATCATTTTATAATATACCAGTAAACTGGACATGTGTCCCGTTTGCACAGAACAGTGTAATTGTTGAATCTAAACAAAACTCTGTAAAAATATAATTTTATGAAAATTATGGACATGTGCCCTTCTTGCATTTAGTAATTCATATATTTTCAAACCTTTTTTTAATACTTTTTGTTATTACTTCTACCAATGGTAAACAAATTTTTAATTGGTTTTTAGTAAATAATTGTTCATACTTGTATATTAATTCAGTAATAGAAGATATTAGAAAACCAAAAAATATATTTTTTCACCTTGTAAAAGGTCTAAAACAATAGCTAATGGTTCCATCATCTGAGTATACTCTTCAAGGAATTCCATATCATTTTTATTAAAGTGAATAACTTCAATATTATCATACAATCGAAACAATAATCCTGATTTTGATTTGGAATTCTTCAAAAATTTTTTTACAGATTCATAAGTTGAATTCCATCTTGTTTCTGTTGGAGTGAGAATGTATACTCCAAAACAAATTTTTATAAGATCACCAATTTTACTAGATAGGCTTTGCTTGTTCCAAAGAGTGGTTATTTTACAAAGGTTGTACTGCTTATATTTCTAGAGAGAGAGGATACTGCTTTTTTTACACCAGAAATAGCTTTTTGAATATCCTGTAATTTGAAATAATAATATATAGTATGAATCTAAAATTTAAAAATATTAAAAAATAAAGTTTCCTTACATTAGTAGCAATTAAATCAACAACTTCAACAGGAATAACGGTGGTGTATAGCATTGTGGCTGTGTTATTATCTGACCAAGTATCATTCAAGGCATTGATATCATCGTCTTACGCACCAAACACTAAACATTTTAAAATAAATTAAATTGATTGCTGTTTAAATTACCTATCTATTATAAATGTAAAAATTTTGATTCAAAACATAATAAATTAGGTTAGAAAGTATTAATTGAAACTAACAAAAGGTGAGAAAAATAGTTTTGTAACCTCATAGGTAGGTTAGGTATAAACTATAAACAAAAACTAATGATGCCTACACTTTTTCACACTGAAACTCAATTATACACATTATTTTAACTCATTTATAAAATATTTACTTAAAGCTTTTAACAAAATTGCTGCCATTATCGGTTGTTGTATATAAAATTTTGTTGTTTATGCTAAATAAAGTAGAGCGATTCATAGATCTGGCTAATATGTCATAAGTGTGACTTCCTGCCAATCGCTTAATATATAATAAGTAAGATTTTCGTACAAGACTTCGTTCTTCAATCCAATGAACAGTTATACCTAAATAAGAACTAAATCAATTAACAAGATATTATGAAATATTAAATAATGAAATGAAAAATCTAAAAAATATACCTTTTAAATGTCGACCATGCATCAGCAGTTGTTGTTAAATGTTCTTCAGAATTAAGTTTACTTTTCAATTTAACAAACAGAATATTAATACTTTTGACAATACTTTTCATAAGAGTCTGGCGACACATAAGATTTCTACCTGGAAATCCTTTAGAAATAATATCCTTAAAATTTTCATGTGACACTAAATTAAATGGCAGATGCATTTATTATTAGATCTTGTATAATTTGATTAAGAGTATCTGTGAAATAAAAAAATAAACAATTATTGATAATTACTATACAATAAATAAATAATGCAGCACTTTTTTAAACCTTATATAGTTTTGAACAATTACACAAATCATTTTATCTAATATAAACAGCTCTTAACATTTATCTATTAAGCAAAATATTAGTTTTAAACTATTTTATACAGTTTAAAATATAGAACTAATTATTAATAAACTTGATTTAAAAAACTAATCCAAAAAATATTTGTTTACTCTAATACATATTTACCTTGAGAAACTATATTCAAGTGATTATCTTTTGAACGTATGAAGCTTTTCAAAGATGTCCGTGTTGTATTAAATTTGATTTTTTTAACATTTAATTCGATGCTGGTGTCAAGTTGATCAGTACTGTCAATTTCATTTTTTATACAATTTATAGATACATTCATATTATAGTAATGCTTTTACAGTTTTTACATGACTATGTTTAAGCTGTGAAAATTATAAAATCTTATAGGAATTTACTATTTAAAACATTTATTTATATACCTGGGTATAGACTAAATGTCTATACTAGTGATGGGCAGAAACGACTATCTGATACCACCGACTATTATTCGGTTTTCATTACGTACTACCGACTATTATTCGACTAATAATTTGCACGACCAGCTTATATACAAATATATACAAATCATAGAAATTAGTCGAATAATTAGTCGAATATTTTTTTCTAACCAACTAATATGAATAAATAAAATTAGTCGACTAATTATTCGACTACTTTTTTTCAACCAACTAATATGAATAAATGAAATTAGTCGACTAAAATAACTGAGTACAGTACTAAATACAAGTGTACCTAAGTCCATCACCCACTTTTTTTTGAAAAACATAAATGTAATCATTAATAATTAAACAAAATAATGACAAAAAAAAGGTATCTACTTCCCAGTGCGCAAATGCGTGACACTAACTTCGCTGTTACGTAGATTTTGAGTTCAAAATTTAACTTCTCATTGTAACGGATATGTTACGTATTGGTAAACTTATAGCAAAACAATCTAAAAGTTAATTATGTGGATACCTTACCAAGTTAATTTGCATGCAATGTTTAATGTTGACATGACATGGAACTTCATTTACATTTAAATGTTACTTGTGAGTTGAATGATTTGTATTTAACATTACAATTGAGATGTTGATGGTATATAAATAATTTACTTGCATGTAAAGTTATAGGTAGGTATCAAATGTGACATTTTTGAAAACGTCAGTAACCACCTAAAAACGCGCCACTGGCAGTTGATCGAATTAATAGAATACGCGTTTTTAAATTAAAAACCATATAATATGAATGATGTCGCGACTATTTTGGTCGCGCGTTCAACATGTCTGGTCGCTCGAAAAGATTAGAACGGCGCGGCCAACTTTGTGGCGCCACCAATTGTAAAACCCTCAATTTAATTATTAATATCTTTTGGTGGCGCTGCTATGGTGGCTTCGTGTAAAAAAATTATAGGTTTATCTTATCTAGAACGTACAACACTATAAAAACTTTCATAGACGTCGCATTTAAGTCACAGACAAGTTGGTATCGGTATGATTTATTTTCATATCGTGTTAATAATGTTTATTCGTTTTGACGATCTGTTTAGAGTCAGACGCCCAAGAAGCAAGGGCTCAGCATACTTTTAAAATTACTTTTTAGTACATACTTTTACAATTTATAATTGTTTAATAGGTTAAAAAAATTATTAAATATCCCAACTCTAATATAATGTTGAAAGTTAGCAAATTTCATGAATGTTATGCAATGTTTGATTCCCCTATAAAGTCAACTGAGGTAGGATGTTTTTATGTAAATATTTCAAAAGTATCATCTTATTATTTAATACCTTTAGATGAAATTAGTTTGAAATGTTTTTTTGTTTCTATATCTAACAATAAAGCTATAATGTTTACTTTATTGCATTCATTGTAACACTACATGAATAAAATTATATTTGATTTTTAATTATGTTAAATAAGGTTTTATTACATATAAAGTCTTTATTGGTTTATATCTCGCACATTAGTAAATTTAGTTATTGTGTAAGAAATAATCACTTTATTTTATATAAAAACAAACTATTATTTATTTAGCTTATAAAAAAATCATATATATATTTTGTTTATAAGTAAATATATAATTTATTTTAAAATTTAAGTTTGTTTCAAATGTAATATTAAAATATTACATAATTATAAGTTTTAAATCATAATAATGAGTATAAAAAGTAATAAATAAATAATAAAATGAAAAAAAAACAATATATAGGTACGTTTTATTATGAATTATGCTTAAATAATAATTATTTATCGTGAAATTTAACATGACATCACCATGCATGGAAGAAGGAAGGTGTAAGAAACGTTTCCCGAAACCCTTTACCAATGATACTATTACGGATATCGATGGTTATCCATTGTATCGCCGCAGAGACCCTGAGCGTGGTGGTCACACATTTACAATGCGAAAGCCGAATTCTATAAATGAAGTTGAAATTGATAATCGGTGGATAGTTCCGTACTCACCATTGCTGTCAAAAGCGTATAAGGCTCATATTAATGTCGAGTTTTGCAGTTCCGTCAAATCCATTAAGTACATTTGTAAATATGTTAACAAAGGTAGTGATTTGGCCGTATTTGAAATACAAGATGTAAACAAAAATGACGAAATAGCAAGATACCAAATGGGTAGATATATAAGCAGCAGCGAAGCTATCTGGCGTATTTTCAGTTTTCCCATACATGAAAGAGAACCTTCTGTCCAGCATCTTGCAATACATCTTGAAAACGGTCAACGAGTATATTTTACCGAAGAAAATATTTTCCAAAGAGCATTTGAGACACCGAAAACGACACTAACTGAATTCTTTACATTATGTCAAAAATCTGATGTATTCAGCCAATTTGCAAAAACATTATTATATACCGATGTTCCACGCTATTTTACATGGAATAAAATAGGGAAAAAGTGGGTGCCCCGTAAGCAAGGAAAACCACATCCATCGATCCCAGGCATATTTAAAGCTAAGACATTGGGACGACTTTACACTGTACATCCTAAACAACGTGAATGCTTCTTTTTGCGTTTATTGCTGGTGAATATTCCCGGACCAACATCTTTCGAATATTTGCGAACAGTGAACGATCGAGTGTTCAATACATATCAAGATGCATGTTGCGAGTTGCAACTACTGGAAGCAGATAATCATTGGGACTTGACACTTGCTGATGCAGCGTTGAAATCCACACCGAATAATATTCGTCAACTATTTGCAATAATTTTGACAACATGTTTTCCAACACAATCATCGACTCGAATATAAGAATTATATGACTGAAGACATACTGCATCGAATTAGACGAACAAATCAATGTCCAAATTTAGATTTCACACCAGAGATGTATAATGAAGCATTAGTGTTGATCGAAGATTTATGTATTTTAATTTCAAATTTGCCACTTAGTCATTATGGAATGTCATCACCTGATCGCCCGGCTGCCGACTTAGTTAACACTGATTTGCAACGAAAAAAACAGTACAATGACGTCGATTTAGCTACAATTATTGTGAATAATGAGCCATTACTGACAGCCGAACAAAAAAATATTTATAATCGGATAATGCTGACTGTAGATGCTGACCAAGGTGGGTTTTTTTCTTAGACGCACCAGGTGGAACAGGTAAGACATTCTTAATATCATTAATTCTTGCAAAGGCACGTTCCCAACAGAAAATTGCTTTGGCAATTGCATCGTCGGGCATTGCTGCAACTTTGTTAGATGGTGGACGAACAGCACATTCAGAACTGAAGTTACCATTAGACATTCATAACAAACCAAACGCAATGTGTAACATTAAAAAAAAAGCGGAATGGCTACAGTGTTGCAAAAGAGTGCAATAATAATTTGGGATGAGTGTACTATGACGACAGAACAATAGTAATACGGGCATGAGACTTCCCCGTATGGGCCATACTATGAAATTATAAATAATTCCCACCTCCCATGCATATTATGTAGGTAATATATGTCTATATACATAATAAATTGTTATTGTTCATAATTAATAATAAATGCTATGTAAAAGTATTTTAGAACCAATTTTTGCAAGTAAATATACAAATGAAATTTCTTATTTAGTTATTTATTTTATATTGAATGATAAAATTGTAGATTAGTTATTACTAAAGACCGGATTTATATTCTCTTAAAATACCTTAAATATGGTGCTAATATTCTCTAAAAAACCTTCAAATATTCTTATTATATTCTCTTAAAAATCTTAAAAATATGTAAAAATATTCGAAATTGTTCAAAAATAATCAACAAACATCAATAAATGTTTTAATATGCATTTTTAAAACTTTTTTTTTTACAACTTTTTTTTAATCATGAGGTATATACGTAGTTATATATTATAATAGAATACCAGGGATTATTCTAAGAATTTTTATCAACTACGCATTTTGTTTTAATAAGCCTATTAAAATAAAACTATGATCTTAAAATATACTGTCAAATTATAATTAAAAATGATAAAATAAATAAATAAATAAAGTTTCTATGTGAAATAATTTAAAATGTAATGTACTTAAAAGATATAAAACAATTTACATTCGTGTTCAAAGTATTTTTTTTAATATTTTTTAATAAATTTCCTTTTTACTTTGTTTATAAATCATAATGTAATGTATAAAATAACACTAAACAACATTGAATTAAAAATCAATTACGCAAAAGTTTATTATCAAGTGCACATCTACCTTTTCCAAATACGCAAAATAAGCCAAACTGCGCTTAAGAATAAGCCCTGTAGAATACTATTGTACTTCAGTAAGAGTAGGAATATAGTAAAAATATTACAGTATAGTTTATAACAGGGGTCGCCAACATTTTCAAACAAGTGAGCTACATTTAACATTTAAGTCCCTAGTGATTGACATCCAGGAAAATTTAAGTCTTTAATCTTTAAATCTAATATTCCCATTATTCAATTAATCTGATTATTTTATGCGAACGACCGATAGTGGTAAAATTAAATTTCACAACAATCGACTGGCTGGCGATACCTGTTCAATAGTATTAAAATTTAAAAACAATATTCCTTTGGTATATTTAAATTAAATGTTGTATTAACACTATTGTCACAATATTAAAAAATAAATAATCATATATATATATATATATATATTAAAATATAATAAAACAAAAAAAAAATTGGTTAACAAAAAGTAATCCTTAAATAATAATAATTTAATACAAGATATAAAATAACAATACAGGTATATATATGTATAAAAAAAACAATATTTTTTTGGTGCATACAATGGTAAATATTTACTTTCTGAAGGATAAAAAAGAAACTTAAAATACTATTTAAATTTATATGAATTTAATTATATGAATTAACAATAATATATTTTACATATTATCTGTACTCATGTTAGTTCTTCTATCGCTTAAAATTTGTTTATAGAGACTAAATGAACATTCAGCATCAACAGATATTAGAGGTGCAAACTTCATGTCAACAACTACATTAGGTGTAAAATATTCTGGGAGATCTTCATTGTTTCCACATAAAATGTTCCCAAATTTATTATTATAACATTGGGTAACCTTTATTTTTTAACATCATTAAGACACTTTAGTATTTTTATTATGTTACCCGTTTTATCAGGTATATTGGTTAGTTTGCAGATAATAGCTTGTACAATCTCCAACTATGAAACAAAACTCAAATATTCTAAAATATGCTAAATGGGCTAAATATTCTTTGACCTATGATATATTCTCAAATATGCAAAAAAAAATTTTTTCTACAAACTCAGAATTGAATGAATCGTCCATATTTTTTACTCTCATACAACTGCATAGACCAAGTAACGATATATAAAAACAAATAAATCCGATCTTTATTTATTATTAATGATTAGCTACAGATTTTGTGAATTATCTAGATAAATTTATCTAGATGGCTATGATTTTTATCTAGATAAAATAACGATATGAAGTTTTTATCTAAATAACATATCTAAATAAATTTATCTAAAGCACAACACTGGAAATAATAGAAAGTCGTATTATAGGTATCAGGGACACCCGCAGAAATGTAGCTCGGGAGGGGGGGAATTGTAAGTGAATATAATCTATGGGAAGATTTACCACTACCTCTTTCACATGCTCAAATTTTGTAATACTATCGTTAATAATAGTCTAAAAATCTTAACTTATATAAGTTAATATAAAATTACACTATAAATTCAAATATTTATAAGAAAATCATAGTAAAATTTAAACAAAAAATAACTTTATTTGATCAAATTTACATCATATTTTATTATTTTATTCAAATAGTAATGACAATCTCCTTTTGTTAGAAACAAAAAAATTGATTAAATCATCTATTTGTTGATTAAAAATATTTTTATAATCATACCTTTGGTTCTTTAAACGGTGTAAAGTGCTGAAATATAATAAAAAAGTCATTGTTAAATGTTAATTTATATACTGAGTAAAATTTGTAAAAATTTTATAACTGACATGAAAAATCTCATGAAGGGCAATAGACCCCCTGAGCCTCCTGTCCGGTCGTCCTTGATGGTTATATATATAAATGTTATGGGCAAAGTATACAATTTGGGCATTTTATACAATTCCCGGACATTTTATACATTGTCCGGATAGTATATTCGCCCTTCGTATATTGGGCAATATAGATAACGGATGAAATAATTTAATGAAATATAATAAATCGTAAAACATAGTTAACATAAAGTCAAATTATTATCTGTAACTAGTTTATTTGTTCTTATCATATTTTTACAATGGGGATGTCTGCTTATCTACATTATACGTGTGTACGTGACATAATATATTATTACTATATTTACTGATTTATAAGTTATATTATAATTAGTTGTAGAGATTATCGTGTAGTCGGCCTTTTACCTATTCTCAAAAATGAACTATTTAGTAACCGCGAATATTTTATATAGTGCAGGTTAATTCCTTCAGTGCGTACCTAACTATTTATTTAAATATGGAAAATTTTAATGAAGATTTCAACAATTTGTTAAAAAAAAAAGTTCAAATACTTCATTTTTTACCAAGTTAAAATAGTCAATTAATTTTACATATAAATCAATTAAAAAATAATTCAAAGAAAAAGGAACCGAATGATTATAAACTTTAAAAAAAAAATAATGTGTTAAAAGTTTCTGATGTTAACAAGTTAATTGTACCAGTATCTGAAAACAAGGAAATTAAATATTATGTATATAATGAAGAGTTATTTGATGTTATACATAATGTTCATTTATCGATTGGACATGGTGGACGAAACAGAATGGAACACGAGGTAAATACAAAATATAAAAATATCACCAGAGATATGATTATGCTATACTTAAATAGTTGCGAATCGTGTAAAAAAAAAAAGGAAGCACACTCAAGAAAGGACTGGTGGAGCAATTAATTATATCTACTGAGATGAATTATCAATAATATAAATATATGTCATTATTCATTGATTTATCATATTTCATTAAATCATATTATCTGTTATCTATATTGCCCTATATATTGTCCGGACAATGTATAAAATGTCCGGGCATTGTATAAAATGCCCAAATTGTAGGCTTTGCCCGTAACATATATATAGTATGTTGGCAGTTTAACCGCGGTTATATCCCATAAGCGTAAAATATGATCCAAACGCAACCCAAAAGTGCAAAAATAAATAACCCATAAGCGCAAATCAATTTTACAAAAAGGACGTGTATTTTATTAAAATTATATAATTATTAAGCTTTTAGTGATTATAAAACTAGGTAAGAAAATTTAAATTTAAATTACATATTAGTAGTAGGTATAATATTATGATGAGTACCTTAAACAAATATTAATATTAAATTTGAAATTTGAAGTCAACAGTTTTCAAATAGTCTAATCTGCCAATCTTTTTTTCGTTATACATATTCCAATGCATATATATTGGAGTTGACTTAGCTGCGTTTTGTGGTTTTTCGTCCATTTGATTGCATTTTTAAGTAAACTTCGGCCTTTATAACTTCGGTTGTTTAAGCACTTCGATAAAATTATAAATAGATGGATATGGGTTATAAAATTGATCTTTTAAATGACGGTGGTATGATTCCGGACCAATAGTCCTTGGCTCATTTGAAGGTGGCTCAGTCCAGGGGTACGGTGGATATCTGCTGTCATTTTCAATAAAATTTGCTAAAATATAATCAGAAAACACTAATACCTTATCATTTCAGGAGCAATAGAAAATAGTTCATAAAACGCATTAGATATTTCAGTGGAAGGTAAAAAGATCAAAAAAAAAATACTTTAACCAATTTGAAATTTCTGATTAATTTTTGTCATATTCAATTTTAAGTCCCAATTTTTTAATTTGTCTGTATCAAGCTTGTCCTAGGTGAAACTGGCAAAATTTAATTTGTGCATTTGGAAAAGTACGCAAAACGCCATTATGAGCAGATAATTCAAAATCCATAAATATATTTTGAGGTTTTAATTCGTTAGTACGTTAGTTCGTTTTATTAAATGCTACATTTTGGCATAAATATCAGTTGTTTTGAATGGCGATATACAATACACTACTTGAACGTACATTTATATATGTAGAACATGAACTGTATAAAGTTGCTCAAAATAAGCAGGACAAACATAAAATGTATCAACGCCTAAAATAGTATAACTCTTATTGGCTATATATTCTAAATTACTCTTGGTCGTGAAAATTACAATTTTTGATTCTTCATCTACATGACAAAATGTTTCATTGCGATGTGTAGTAATTAATAATAATCTTAAAATGTAACTTACGAGATCTAATCAAAAAGTATCGAGACTGATACGATTAATCGTAAACCGGTTTGAGTATGAACTTACACGTGCTATATTAATCTAACTTTATATGTTGGGAAAATTTATTTGACATAGATTAGATTAAAATTGTCTCAGTTGGCTTCTAGATGCGATTAAGTCAAGTGTGTTTTTACGTCCCGTCGGATTTCATAATGAGCGAAAATACAGAACAACGAGTGTGCATTAAATTTTGTCATAAACTGGGAAAAACGGCTACTGAAACCATGTCCCGTGCTCGTGTTTTTGAATGGTTTAAACGATTTAAAGAGGGTAGAACAACTGTTAAAAGTGATGAACGTGAAGGACGCCCATCAACAAGCCGCAATAAGAAAATGATCCAAAAAATATGAGCAGCAATACGAGGTAACCGTCGTTTGACAATTATGTAACTTAGTAATGAGTTTCAAATTTCATTTGGATCAGATCAAACCATATTGACGACTGATTTAGACATGAGAAGAGTTGCAGCCAAATTTGTTCCAAAACTGCTCTCAGATGAGCAAAAAGAAAATCGAAAACAGATCGCCACTGATTTGCTAGAGTGTTCCGAATCTGATGAATTTTTTTTTTTTAAATCAATTATAACTGATGACGAGACTTGGTTATGTGGCTACGATCCAGAAACAAAGGTACAATCTTTGCAGTGGAAGACACCTAATTCACCACGACCCAAAAAAGCACATCAAGTTCGGAGTCAAGTGAAGGTCATGTTGACCGTTTTTTTTGACTACCAAGGTGTTGTTCATCATGAGTATGCTCCAAAAGGACTGACCATAATAAAGGAGCACTACATTGATGTTCTTCGCCGTTTACGAGACGCTGTACGAAGAAAAAGACCTAAGTTTAAAGAATCTGGTAGTTGGAAATTGCATCACGATAATGCACCAGCCCTTTCAGCCCATGTTGTGCAGCAATTTTTGGCCAAACATGTTATCCCAGTTGTTTCTCAACCCCCCTATTTACCAGACCTAGCTCCATGTGATTTTTTTTATTCCCAAAAATAAAAATGGCGCTTAAGGGTAAACGTTTTCAAGATGTAGATGAAGTAAAACAAAATGCGACGGAAGAGCTACGAAGAGTTTCTAAAAATACTTCCACAGGCGTTTTCAAAAATGGCAGGAACGTTGAAGAACATGTATGGACTCAGAAGGAGCATACTTTGAAGGAAATTGAATGTAAATAACTTTATCTAATAAATATTTTTTTTTTTAACAGTTTCGATACTTTTTGATTAGACCTCGTATAGTGTAACGGGTGCAATATTTCTTTTTGCGCTTTTTTGCCATTACTAAGGTACAAAAGCGCAAAATGAATTTGCGCTTTTGGGTTTCACCTTAACCGCAGAACGGTTTAAATTTAATCTGTAAATTTCATCCTACGTTTTTAAAGTATTTCAACGTTACCCGTAAAAAAACCAAAACGGTAGGTAATCGAAATGGTGCGGACTTCAATCGTTCCGGTCTGGCGCACGGTAGTGGGGAACGGAACGAGCACGAGGCTGATAAGGATGCTGTGGCCCGCGTGCGTATTTTGCAAATGTGGGTGCACTCAGAACCGAGTTGCTCTGATTGATCCTATTTAAATTCTCATTATTTTCTTATCACTTTATTTCAAATATCAAATTGTGATTGTAATTTGTTTTTTCTATATATAATTTAATACCTATAATTAGGTACAAAAAATCATTCATTATACAAATAATATAATTAATTATATTATATTCTTTACATACATTTGGCATACATTATTTTCATTGTTTACAAATTAATATGGTAAATATATATTTACTATTCATATTTATATTACATTAATAATATTTTTATAAATTATTAAATAGGTTTTTTTAAAATCACTAATTAAGTACTTCGAAGACTTAAATAGCGAGTTGATTTTAGATGAATTAACAGAACATGTTTTAACACTTTGAACTGCTATGGAAAGTCAAGATGATGCTCAACAATTTATTAAACAATTTCGAAAGTTTGATGATAGAAACTGGATAATCGGTAATAGGATCAACAAGGGGAATAATTGTCGGTCAGTATATTTTTGTTAATTGATTGATACTTAAAGTCTAAAACATGCTATTGTAAACAAACTAAAATCTTGTTATTTAAATATATTTAAATATTAAATAATTGTTATTAATTCTTTACATTTATATTTTATACTACACGCCACTACTACCTAATTCTTAAGAACAAATCATAATTTACGATATATTTTACTCTATATAATATATACATCATATATATGTTATCTATATGTTATCATATAGAATTCAATGGTGTACCCACATTTGCAAGATACGCGGCCCGCGTTTGATAACATTCGTATCGCTATCGCCGCGTGTTCCGTGATAACAACTAGTGCGTTGGACGTTTTTTACAGGAGAAAAAAATAAAAAATACGTTTCGATTATCGCACGATGCCGTTAACTTTTTAACGTCGTTTCCGGCCCACCTGTTCAAAGTCCACTCGATCAAACCGGGTAAGTAGTGAGCACTGCAAAAGCAATAGTAGTTGGCCACTCGGTCGTCGGTTTGTCGACGATCGTTAGCCGTGCGCGGTCGACCCGTCCGGTGTATTCCGTTCGAATTCAATCGGGTTCATCGTTACACGTCCGGCGATCGCGTTAACACGTTTTTACTGCAACATGTACGAACTGATCGACGACGGTTGTTCACAGGTAGAACGCGGCACGATAATGGAAGAAAAAGGCAATCCCAACAGCATCAAGCTTCCGGATACATTGGAGGTTTTTCGAAACCTGAAAAACGCCAAACAGTTCGCCATCGACATTGGTACGTGTCATGATATTATCGTTATATGCGAATCACCGTTTATCGATGCGTAAAATATGTTTTCTCGTTGAAACTCAATGCTCGCGAGTACGTTGTGCTTTTAAATATTTTTCTCGTCCCATCGCGTTAGAAACCGAAATTTATACACTTCCCAATTATAATAATAATTTTTTTTTATTTGAAATGATAAAAAAATTAAAGGACACTATTATTTTCACATTTCATACCGTTCTGATAAAAATAATAAAACTATGACTGTTTAGTACCTTGCTCTCAAAGTTTTTAAAAACCTAATAATCATTTTTTGCGGATACTATTTATTTCTATAAAAATGTCTATCTATTGATTTTTTTGTTTACCTACCTATTTTTGTAATTTTTTAGTTTTATTGTTATATATTTTTTTTAGTTTTATATTTTTTAAAATACTTAATTCAGAAAAATTGAACACTCCTTGCATCTGTAATATCATTTACAGAATATGTTTTAATGAATAACCTCATGTTATGAATTTCAATTTGACGTTTGAAATATTAATTTACAGGTGGTTCGCTGACGAAAATAGCATATTATTCTACAGTATCATTTAGGCGAGTTTACTATGCTACTGATAATATTGATATGAAAAATGGAGAAAACCAGGATGACGTATGATATATTGCATGTAAATAATAGTGTCATGTTATTGGTTATTTTCTAAATATTCATACTTTTAGAAACTCGATAAGTTTATTTATACTTATTCTGAACAAGCAAGGTTACATTTTGTCAAGTTTGAAACTAAATACATTGAAAACTGTTTGGATTTTATTAGTGAAAATTTAGTAAACATCGATGAACGCAAAGGAAAAAGCATTAAAGCTACAGGTGGTGGAGCATACAAATATAGTAAACTTATCCAGGACAAATTGGGTTTAGAGTGAGTTGTGGTTACCATTTGTATAGTGCATTTGTAAAAATTGTACTTAAAAACAATTATAGAGTTGATAAGGAAGATGAGTTGACCTGTCTAATTACGGGCTGTAATTTCTTATTAAAAAATATAAGTGATGAAGCATTTGTTTACAATCGTAATGGTAGTCCTGAATATGAGTTTCAAACAGCTGATCCACATGTATTTCCATACATGTTGGTTAACATTGGATCGGGTGTAAGTATTTTGAAAGTGGAATCAGACAATTGCTATGAACGCATTGGTGGTACAGCTACTGGGGGCGGCACATTCTGGGGCCTAGGCACACTGTTGACCAAAGCTAAATCATTTGATGAATTACTCGATCTTGCTGATAAAGGAGACCACAGGAAGGCTGACATGCTAGTAAAGGACATATACGGTGGTGATTATAAGACACTTGGTATGCATTCAGATTTGATTGCTTCTTCTTTTGGAAAAATATGTCCTCGTCAAAATGCAGGTACAAAATTAAAATTAAATAAAAATTAAAAAAATGTTTTTAATATGTTTTGTTGTTTTTTAGAAAGCGATTACAATGAAGCAGATTTGGCAAGAAGTTTATTGTTTGCTATAAGCAATGATATTGGTCAAATTGCTTGTCTGTATGCAATGATGCACAATTTGAAAAAGGTATAATAATTCAAAAATATTAATACTAGAATTTATCTTATTATAGTGGTGTATTATAATTTTTTTTCGATTATTCAACTATATTAGGTTTACTTTGGTGGTTACTTTTTAAGAAACCGTTCACTCAGCATGCATACTATATCTTTTTCTATCAAATATTGGTCCAGAGGCACTGTACAAAGCTTGTTTCTGAGGCATGAAGGATATTTGGGTGCTATTGGGGCATTTTTAAAAGGCACCGAAGAGTGCGGTAAATGTTTTGATTCCTGTTTATTTGCTTTTTTTATTGTTTTAAAATATTTACAGATGGTGAGAAATTTTCATGGTTAGAAAATTATGCTGGTAGTGGAAGCAACCGTACTCAATTGACATGTGGCAAACGTATAGACCAACTTGAACTTGACCGTTGGGAATCACCTTTAACATTTTGCCCTTTACTCAAAGATCCATCTACATATATTCCTGATACAGTTGATTTAAATTCTGATAAAGAAGCTAGGTTAGTATGATACTTGAAATAATTTTATCAAAAATGATAAACTTTTAATGAATCTATGATTAACTTTTAAAAAATTTTATAAATAAAATCCATTTTGTTGCAACAACAATTTATAACAAGACTCTTATCTATTAACTACTGATAATATATGGTTTTTAAAAGTTAAAAATGAGAAAAATTTCTTGTTTAAAAAATATTAGCATTTAAAAAGTATTAAAATTTATTCAAATTTAGACACATTATCCCTTCTTAAAAATATACATTTTATTTCTAGTATTGTATGAAAATTATTATAGAGTTATATAAAGTTTTAAGTTTGTTGATCATTAGATAATTGGAAAAACTTAATTATCTCAGAATCTAAAAATCTAACTGTAATCATAACTAGGACTGTGAATTTAAAGCACCAAAGAACCTTAAAAAATGTCAAAAAAAATTCAATAAAATATGTGCTTAAAATGCAATATAAAACGCCAAAAATTATAGTATAAAATTGATTGAAAATAGTTTTTATTTAATTTTTATATTTATAATAATATTAGGTTCAGTATATTATACATTTGTACATTACATGCATAAATAAGTGTTTATTTAATAATAAAAAAAATAATAATAATAACAATCTTGATTGAATTTAAATTTTCTATACCTAATTAATGCTATTCACCTGAAACATTTTTTATAATTTTTTTTATAGTTTTTATTTTGTTAAAATAATAAAAGAAACTTAAATATATTTATTTTCGAGTACCTTATTCATCTTTAGTCTTTAGAATTTGATTAAAACTACCAGAAAATGAACTAAAAAAGGAAAATATGGCCTTAAACTGCACAAAAATGACCTTAAAAATTAAAAACGTCAAAAAATGCAAAATATAAGTTAACTAAATGGATTTTTAGTTACATAATACAAATTATGTACCTACTAAGCTACAGTTCACAACTACCAAAAAAAAAAAAGAAAAAAAAAGCACTTTTCTACAAATGCACACCCCTAGTAATAACATAGCTTAAAAATAAAAATGTACTGCAATAATTACTTAGCTATCTTGTTGTTTGTAGTATATTGTTGATTGCAGCAACCTAAGTGCAAAAATGCTATGAAAATCTATTAAGATTTTACAGATAATATAATTTTTAAGAAATAAATTGAAGTTTCTACAGTTAAATAAGTGTATTTAATTAAATTTTGATTAAACTTTAAAACCATACATTATCAATGAAAAATGCTGTGTAAGTTTGGTTAAAACTTGAGAATAATTAATTTTTTTATTGTTTAATATTTATTATGATTTTTAGAGAATATTGGTTGAATTGTTTTGAAGAAAGTATTGAAAATTATGTGAAGTATGCAATTGCAAGTCAACCAACTAGCGATACAGCTGCTAAACGAGCTGCCATGTTTAAAGAAAAATTCATTTCTCGAGTACAATTATTAAAAATTAAACCATTGTAAGTTCTAATAATTATTTATTTTTATTTATATTTAACATTTTGTTAATTTTATTATTTAGTGCATATGGCAATTTAACTGTCAGAGGTCTTTTGGATACTATCAACCAATGTCTAAAAGAATTTGATTTTCCTGATCCATATTTAATTGTGAGATTAAAATAAAATTTAAAATTGATTAATGAAAAAAAAAAAAAATACTTACATAAAATATTTCAGCAAAAACGAACAGAAAATGAATATGCTTTAACTCTTCTTCAAGAACGATTAGAAGAACTAGATTCATTAGATATAATGGAGAGACAAAAAGAAATTGTCATGGGTGTCTTAGCTGGCAACACTTTTGATTGGGGGGCCAAAGAAATTGTAGCTCTGATGAAAAAGGGTGATTTTGATTTCAAGCAAGCAAGAAAACAAATTCCTGGTAAAATGATTTGATTAATAATACATAAAAGTAACAATTATATTTGATTTCTATAACTATTTACAGCAAGACCTTGGTTAATTGATAACTTAGATGAATGGGTGCAAAAAATTTGTAACAAACCATACCAAAAAATCGCTATTTTCATTGATAACAGTGGTGTTGATATAGTTTTGGGAATATTACCATTGACTAGAGAAATGTTACGTCAAGGTTCAAAAGTAATATTGTGTGCCAATTCTGCTCCAGCACTGAATGATGTCACTTATTCTGAGCTCATTGTTTTACTACGTCATGCTGCAGCAATATGTCCTATAATTTCCAAAGGATTAAATGATGGCACTTTAAAATCAATGGAAACTGCTCAAGGTGGACCATGTTTAGATCTTAGGTATGATTTTATGTTATAGAATATTTACTATTTATATGTAATACCATTCAATATTATATTTAATGCTATATACCAGGTCTTATTATAACGGGCAGTAGGACCCAAATTAGGTAGTAGGAAAAGTCAAAAGGGCAATTGACTTTATGCACCTTACAAAAATAAAATTTTCCTTATAGAATAATTGGATTTCTACTGAGTATTTGAAAAGTAATAATTATGTGAGTTTACAATCTTTGCTACTTCGTTGATTGATTAATCTATGAAATTGAAATAGTGGTTTACGTATTACAGAAAAGATCTGTTTTTCTAATATTTTACCATGTGATAGTCGAAATTCTAAAATACAATTTATTTGGGGAGGGGGTAATTATTTTAATCCAAATAAATTTCATAAAACAAACTTTTCAGTGTGTTTGGGCATTGGGTAAAAATCTTTAGAATAAGCCCTGCAATATACATGAAAATATGTAAAAATTTTAGTTATTTTTTAAGACCCCATTAAGACATACTTTTCTGTTTATCTTAATTACTTATTTATTTTAATAATCTGTTTATTAATGATTCCATTGTAAATCATTTATCTGTTATTACAAGGTGCTCAATGCTCAATGAAATTGTACATCTTAGTCAGAGTTGGGCAAAAACAAATCAAAATAAAAAATAAAAAATTAAAACATAAATAACTAATTTATTTATGAATAAAGAATAAAATTATTCTGAATAGTTTTATTCATGAATAAAACAATTATTCAGAATAAATGTATTTGTCAAAATCATAAATGATATTAATTAAATAATGATATTAAATATAAAAGTATATTTAATTTATTTTTGTCAATTATTATTTGTCAATTAACTATATGTATTAATATGTATTACCTTTATATATATTATTTAAGTCTAAATAATAAGTCTTTTATTATTATATATTGTTATTTAGAATTTAAATTTATTTTTTATTATGATTATATGGAATAACGAATAACTGAATAATGAATAAAAATAAAAATCAATGAAGAATAATTTTTTATTCAAATAATCAATTGAATAATATTTTATTCGAATAATGCCCAATTCTGATCTTAGTACACATATTTCATATTCATTTTCACAATTTTTGTCAATTAACATCAATATAAAACGAAATATCTCTAATTTCAATGATTAAAACAAAACATAACTTTTAAAAATTATAAATTATTAGATTGTAGCAGACTTGGGTGGTATTCCGAATACAATATTTGGAATACTGTATTCAGAATACCGTCAAATTGTCTCTTTTTTAAATGATTTTATTACTTATTCGTCGTATCTTATATAAGCTAATATCAGGTATTTATTATTGTTGTAAACCATAAACTATAACAGTTATATAGTATAAAAGTACAATAAAATAACATATATTTAGTCTACAATTTCAAATATTTCTGTTGAGTGGACATCTATTATTTTTAAAGTATGAAAACTAGAAGTATTTTCTATAATATAATATCAGTATTCAGAATACTTTTGAAGTATTCTAAATAATGTATTCGGAATACAATTTGTATAAAGTATTTTACCCAAGTCTGGATTGTAGTCAATAATAATATTTTATTTTTCAGTCGTTTAGAGCGAGAATTAGCAAATGAATTAAATACTGTTGATTTAATTGTATTGGAAGGAATGGGTCGAGCTGTACATACCAATATTGATGCAGAATTTTTGTGTGATAGTTTAAAGATGGCCATAATAAAAAATCGTTGGCTTGCTAAAAGATTGGGTGGAGAAATGTTTTCTGTTGTATGCAAGTATGAAAGAATAAATAATTGAAAAATATGTGCTTAATCTTCTTTTATGTAAAATTTAACAATATATTGTTACTAAAATGATTTTTCAGTATAAGATAAATGCATATTATAATATATGGTAAAGGGTAGCTGTTATATTTTTTTAAAAAAAAATTAATGTTAAATCTTAATGTATTTTGCTATATTCTTGTAGATATATATAAGTTTATCTTATAAGCTAGTTGCATAAATGTCTACGGGTACTGGATTCTGTGACGAAAGTGCATGTGTTGCTGCTTTCAGTCCCATTGTGATGCATTCGTCTTGTGATTTACCTTTTAAGATTCCAGATATGTAACCTGCGCACAGACTGAAACACAACATTTTATTGTTAACAAAAAAAAAAAAAAAAATATATTTTACATCTGTCATTATTATTATTTTATATATTTGTGTATTCTTTTTCAAATGAGACAACGAACAATTACTTTTTGACTGTTTTCGTTGTTTCTGTTGTTATAAAATAAGTAATCATGTATTGTAATTTTATTTTAACATATTAAAGTAAATAACATCAGAAAATAAAATTGCTTCAATAAACTAATGGTGATATATTATCAAACACAAAGCATTCTACTAAAAAATTATTGTTATTTAAATATTTCAATTTATTTACATTTAATATAGCTTATTATTATTTTTTAAAATATTTAATGGTGTCTATAAATTAGGTACGTATAAAATATACATTTTCAACATGTGTTCAAAATGTGAAAATAAAAATAACAATTTCAGTACAGTAATATTCATGGATTAAATTATAATCGATAAACCTGTTTTCTTTAAGTATAAAAAGAAAATAAAATCTACTTCAAACGCCTTTTTAATTTTTAATACAATGATATAAAATATATTTAAAAATTTAACTAGTTTAAGCCTCGATATCTATTTTATAATTTGTAATAGTCTTGTACCTACATCCAATAAAAAATGAATTATTATGAATGAAATACTTAGGATAATGTTGACTAGATGTAAACTGTTATTTTAAACAATTATTTGAACATCAATCGTTGATCAATAATTTGACCACATTTTAACAATGCCATTGCTTAAGAAGTTGAAATATTTCAATTCTTCAACAGCAGTGCTTTACTTCAGTATCTTTAATTTTTCTATACAGATATTGTATTAGACCATTAGAGTTGGAAATAATTGATTGTTTTTCGTGCTGTTACGTTATTATAAACTAGACATTACAAAATAATAAATTATTTAGGAACGTCTGATGTACATGTGTTGAATTCCAGGTTTCATAAGTACTCGTATTTTTAAACCATAATTTCATGTAGGATTTGATGACTTGTTAAATAAGCATATTGTGTGAGTGTAGAGTAAACTTGAATAAATCAAACGTATGAATTTGGATCACACTGTATCTGGCTCCCCACTAAACGTCAACGAAGGGGTCCATATCAATATATTTTTTATTATAATAATATAATGAATTACCAAAATATGTAAGACAACAATAAAATGAAACAACTCTTCTATGGTGAGTAATTGGTGTAATGTAATTAAATAAATATATATATATATATATATATATTTATACATATCTGTATATGTATAAGCAAGGCATGTTAGGCCTACGCTATGGATTTCAAATTTATTTTTTAAATTTGGGACATTATAAATCATAAATATAATTTATTTACTTTCTTACTATGGTGGCAACAATGGGAATTAGAGGTAAGGACATATAGTTCCTTGAATAAAAATTTGTTATTTAATCAATTATTTATTTTTATTTTTATAATAATTTTTAGTACCTACCTACGATTTTGAAAAGAATTGGAACATATGTTAATATAATTAAAACTTAAATTTAAAGTGACATTTCATATAAAAGTTCTAAGTAATATTAATTTGTTATCTCTTATAAATTGATAACGTACCTATTCTTATTATTTAAATAGATTAAAAGCCATGTTTAACTCTTCAAATGAATACCTACAATAAAACAAATAATTAGCAATTCGGTATCTTCCATGTTCTAATTAATAATAAATTAACATTTTAATAAATAAATTATAATGCCTAGTAACATTGAATCCATGTATAATTTTAAATGTACATTAGCCAAATAATCCAGGATGTAAGAGTCACTTCCTACAGGGATCTAAAAATATGACGAATGACAGAGAAAGATAGAGAAGACATTTACTGTAAAAAATTTGTTAAAAACTAATCTTCGGATTGATAAACTAAAAAAAAAAAAAAAAAAATATTTTAAATATTATCACTAAACAACATTTGTATTGTGAATTTTTTTTAATAAAGATTATTAATATATTTTGTTGATACATATACAATTATCTTTTTGACGTAGATATTCTAATTTAAAATTTAAAAATTAAATAAAAATTTAAGAAATAAAACACAGAATGCACCTATGTGAATTAAATCTGCTTTGACAGAGTCTTCTTATAATATTTATATGTTCGTTGTTCCAATTAACGATTAATAACTGGTATATTATTAATTTTTTTATTTTAAAACGAACGGAGTCCTTGAGAAACAATTGATTAGGGCTCCGTAGAGCACATTTTTGGAAACACTATTCTAAACAATGGGCTGTTTATTTGTACACAATAAAAAATTAAAAAAAAAAAAAAACATTCCATTATAAATCCATGATTCATTGAATAACTATTACAACAACAAATATAATCATTTTTTGTTTGCAATGTAATTGATTTTTTTGCTACTACGATCTTGAGCAGGGTGCGTTACGATTGTGTATGGACCTTTTTCACTATTACGATCGTGTACGTTCTGTCTAACCAAAATTAATGCAACGTTGCCTCACAACTGTGAACGTTTGTGTTATAACTTATTTTAGGAAATTATTGCTTATACTTGATAATTTCATAAACATTACTGTGAATATAATTCTCCAGCCGATAATTGTTGATAATATATTTTAAACTTAAAAGTTTATGTACCGATACATAAAAATAAAGTTTTATAAAATGATTATAGATTACAATTGATTATGTGATTTTACTTATTCCAATTTACTTATTCTAATGTCAAAACAACAAATGGTCCAGAAAGTTTCCATAGAACTTTTAACGCTTAATCCTATAATGGACATCTACCAATATACTTTGTCATTGATTCATTGAAAGAAATTTAGGCTAAGACCAATATAAAAATATCTATTGTACAAACAAATACTAGTATGTCCAAAGCCATTCCAAGTAAGGATATCCAATAAATTAAATATGTAATAAAACTGTATGACCACTTTAAGATAAATGGTAATGTATTACATTTTTTATCAAGGACCGGTCATCGATACTAAGAATGTTATTTATAACTTATAATTTATATTTTTATTTAATTTTATATATATTCGTATATATTATTTTTAATTGACTATAATAATATTGTTAGTTTATGAATTAGAGATTTGCCATATTAATTAAGGTATTACTATATAATAGTAATATTAAATCACTATATAATAAACGACAATAATCTGGTTTATAAATATAATATTAGTAAAATATACGCGTCAACAAATATAGTATAATAATAATATTTTTATTATAACACATGTTAGTCAACGATACACTCGTTTCCGTATGCAACCGTAATGTTTTTAACGGTCAGGTAGGGAAATCGTACAAACGTATGCAATCGAGTTACAAAAAGGAATATGTAATCGTGTAAAATCATTATCACCGTTTGATCAAACGTCTTCACGGACATTGGACAATTCTTCAATTTTTTAGCGCCCTCATTTTCTATTGAAATCATCGCAAGATCACTAAGCTGCGTTAGGTCATGGTGATTCTTGGACAGTTTTTAACTAATTTAAGTTTTGATCATGTCCTTTCGGCTTTTGCTACAGTAACCGGTAATGTGAGAAACAAGTGAAGGAAATAACATTAAAGACGTAACGTACAATGCATTTTTCGCATTTATTAATAGTAGCCAGTGGCGCATTTAATATATACGCGCCTTGGGGCAAAATAATTTTTCTGCCCTTCCCCTTATAAAAAAAAAAAAAATAATATATATAAATAAATTCAAAGTTAAGCAGTAAAAAAAATTAATTTTATGAAACAAATTATAAATCAGTTGTTATACGATATTGATAATTTTATAATAATACCTAACGTTAACCTAATTTTTTTTGCAAATTGAATATTCCTTTCTTAAAATATATATATTAAATATAGAAAATGGAATAAACACTTATTATATGCACAATGATTAACAATACATGGTTTTTTTATTATATTAAATATATTATATTTATTATTAATTATATAATAAAATAATCGATAGCTTATACTTTTTTTCTTAACTTTTGAGAAGAAAAATGTTCAATAACATCATTAAAGTTAATAGTTTTCGTTAAATCAGCTTCAATGTTGAGGTTTGTTAATTAATTAAGACGATTTTCTCCCGTTGTTAATCTTAAATAAGTTTTGACCCTTTTTAATGTAGAAAATGATTTTTCCGTTGAACAATTACATACATAGTAGCATCCTTAGAGCAATATCAATATAAGGATACACTTCAACTAAACTATTCTCTTTTATAAATTCTAACATACATTGAACGCTTTTAGGTACAGTTTTACTCCTTTTGTAAACTTTTTAAATATGCCCTAAAGTGAATACCGCGTTCTGTGTATCCGAGTCTTTATTATAAATATTGAACGAAAATATAATATCTTATCGAATAATAAATGTAATATACCTATTTTGCTATTTCACTATTACTTAGGTGACTAGGTATAGTATAATTTTTTTTAACTTCTTATCAGATGCTCAATAATATTTTTTAAAATACTAAACAATACCGAAAAAGGTGTGAAAATTAAAAAAATTATGAACACATCAATAATAAAAGTTAGAATATTTTGCTGCTCCCAAAAATTTGCCGCCCGGGGCATTTGTCCCTTCCCCCACTTAAATGCACTACTGATAGTAGCCTAAATGATACCGTGTTGTCAACGGATGATCCGTGTGCTCGTTCAATAAGCACTAATCAGTATACTTTCATATTTTATTTACTTGAACCGAAGTTTTTTCAAATAGTACCAATAGAATTTTACTGCATGGCTCGCGGAAAGTCTCACCTTCAGTTATACGTAGTTTCGCCTTTGACCGGAGCCGAGTACTGTTGGTTCCTCGAGTTCACACAGAACAGAGCTTGGCCGAGTGTTTGGTAACGTGTAAACAAACCGTATGCGTTTTCCGTTTATTTTATTTTATTCTTTTTTTTTTTTTTTTTTTTTGTCGTAGAGTTCATGAGTAGAAAATCTCGTATGCAATTGGTTGTGATTGT